TGACACTGAACTACCAGGAGAGTTATATTCTGATATTGTGACTATATTAAGTGACTATGTTTTGGGTGCTCTTCTGGAAGTCAACTTTTGGAAGCCAACATCAGTCATTTGATATATTCCACTCACTGTATTAAGTAGATGTTTAGAAACACGTCTATAGCCACCTACATGAGCACATGGTAGTACAGATTTCCTTAGGTTTAACTGAATTGTCTGTTGGGATGTGGAACTACTTTGTAATACTGACACAAAATCTGAAATGTGTATGGTAGTCCTGTACTACAAGCTTGATCACTACAAAATCTACTTAAGTTTAAACAGAGAAATCTACTTAGCTTATGAATTTTTACTTAAAAAAAATTCTGCATCTCCCACTGAACAGGCAGGTTAGAAGATGAGCTTTAAAAATCTGGGATTATTTTTTCCATAGATGAGATATTAGAATGCAAGCTGGATGTAATATTCAAGAAATAATGGGATAAGGTGTCAACATACCTTTCATATTTTTCCATAACCAGTATGATCAGGAATTACATATATTTATTAGGCCTTTTACTGTTTCTCTTCAACAACTCAGTTTCAGGAAATAAAATACTAATCATATTGGGGAATAACAATAATTCACAATTACTGAGAACCAGAATTTTGAAGAGTGATACTTATTTATTATGGTGTGAATAAAAATGCTTGACTGGTACTCCTATACAAAATACATATGCTGAGAATAGCACTGCTTTCTGTACTTAAAGACAGGTGTCCTCAAATGAGAAAACTCTCAATTTTCAGAGACCTTACTCCTAACCAAATTCAAGTCATGTATGAAGCTCAAAATTATAAGTGACCTGCTGTTCCCAGCAACCACTTTCCAGCAGTCTATGTACTAATTGTAAAAAAAAATTAAAATATACAAAAAATATTATTATTTTAATTATATTGCTAAAAAACTTGGTTTGAGCATCAACATAAAGAAAACGAAGTCCTGTTCTGGCCCCAGTCTGAAAGAAAACTCATCAAGACCAGTACCAATATTGTCAATAAAGCACTATTCTGTGTAGATCCCTTCTACTATGGTCCCCTCTTCCTCTAGACTCCAGTGGATGAGAAAGTCACACAGAGTACACAGTAATAACAATTTTGAGACTAAAACATCCAAATGAGGATCCAAGTCAAAACAAAACTAAACTATTTGTTGCTATGTTAAGCATCTCAATTAATCCCAAGGGCATTTTCTTTCATGCACTTCTGGGTATATATTTTCAGGGTCAGGTCCTAGACCCTGAGACCTTACAGCACTGTTCTATACCATATAATGGAACATAGGACAGCTAATACAGCTTCGAGCATCTGCTCTATATTTTGATAAAAGGTGGCCTAGAGCTATTACTGTGGCTAGTTGAAATATGGGGTATGGATGAAAGGCAAGATGATGAAATGTTACAAACACCCACAAGACATATCTTAAGCTGTCACATTAGTTCTGCAAAAGGGCAACATGTAGAAAGAGATGATCTGCAATAGTGAGAATGCATCCTGGCCTGGGATTAAAAAGTCTGAAACGCAAGAAGAATACAAGTGGGTTACCAAGACACAAGATACCTATGTCCACAGCAAAAAGCTAATTTCCAAGAAAAATGGAAGTTGAGAAGTTTTAAACCAAACTGATGAGAAGCTATCATAGCCTAAGAAGTACTTACATCCTCAACACAAAATTTAGAATTTAAATTCTGGCCCGATTTGCAAACTGGACTCTTAAGTTTGTCATTGGAAGTTTATAACACTGTGAAATCATATTAAGGAGGAGATATGCAGGGGTTTCATTGAGATTCATTTAAGACAGCTTAACCTGCCTCCATTTAAGTCAATTTTTGTGAACAATGTGGACCAAGATATGAATTGAAAAACCTCCTGAAACTTGTAATTGGTATTTCAGTTGTTATTTAGAATGTTCCCACTGTAACTTTTAAAATATTTTATATTAAGTTGCAATTTTTAAATTTGCCCAGTGTTGTAAGCTAAGATATGAAATATGAAGTAGGTTTATAATATCGTCCATTGGTTTTTTTTGTATATAATATAACAGTGTGAATCTTCTTCATGTTGAACATATCATCAGACTTGCTGAATACATCAGCATGTACATGTGAAGGAGGTTATGTGAGTTAAGCTGCATACACTTTCACCTGAACCAGGTACAGTGTACTCCTCTAGAACTAAAACATTTCAACACCTCAACACCTCCTATAAAGGCAAAAATAGAGGAAGTAGGTTTCATACCAACAGTTAAGATAAAAATATACTTTGAGAAAGAGATGCTTTTCTGAGTACTAGAAATGTGAAATGTAAGTATTGAACAAAGCAAGAGCTCTTTCAAAATACTAGTGTATGATCATCTAATTGAGGCATATTGGGTAGCATATAAAGCATAAATTGATAGGATTAATTTACAGTTGCCCAAGTGAACTTTTTTCTTTAGCTTCTAAGGGTTTGATTTTGAAATGTTAGTATGTTTTTGAAGTGTCTTCCATATGAAAATTTATGTAGGTCATATATCTGATATTAATATTTTCTGTCCCTGTTTCTATGCAGACATTATCCACATGGTATGCCAGAGTTCACCATAAGGGAAAATTCCTGTCTGATTCTATCCTAGATTTTTTTGTAAAACTTCTTCCAGAATCCAGTCCCATTAGAAAAAATGTACAAGATTTAGCGAGCTTGTGCACCATTTATTTTATCTTTTCTCAATTAAAATTGATTATCATCTTCCTAGGAAAAGGAAACCCTTGATTCTACCTCTTATTTCCCAAGAGTGTGCAGTGCCTCCAGCAACAAATAGTGTGTATACAGCTGGTCTATGGTATCAGAAGTGACAACACTGAGATACAAAGAATAAACTCTGAGAACTAAGAATAAGGAAATATGCTGAAGTAGCTTTTATGCCTTACCCAGAAAAAAATAAATCAAAAAGAGAAAAGCTATTTATGCTGTAGTGTAAGAGCTGAATATGTCACCAGCTCCAGTTAAAATATCTTAGAGCTTTCTACAGCTGATTTGTTACTTGTTCATAGATTTTTTTACTTTTTTTTTTTTTTTCTAGAGAGCTACCCAGTACTCTCCATAGAAATATGGCTCTGATTGTTGTCCTACTGTTACAATGGATAAGCAGAGGGTAGACATCCTATGCTGGTTTGCTAACAGCTACTTTGTGAATCTGTTTGCATCAGTCATGGTTATTCATACAGAGCTGGAGCTGCAACACTTGGCTGTCTCATCACTGAACACTGCAATACCTGAGCATTATTGTTTAGGGGATTCTCACAGTCTTGACTAACGCATCCAGGTTCTCTAGACAGTGCCTGAGGAGAGACAGACAGCTTTAAAGCTTAAAGATAAATCAATGTTGCAGTCATTTGTATGAGTACAACTTCTGTAAACAGACAGAAGTCACTTTAGAGTAGCTTCAGTACAGACAAGGGTGTAGCCATCTCAGCATAGAAGTCTGAGAATGTGTCTGCATTTTGCATTTAAAAAACAATGGATAAAATGAATAAATAATTTTATGACCATGTATCAAAATTTCCCTTGCCAGGGAGTGGCCTTATTTCTGGGCCATGTAGTCATACTCCCATTTTCTTATTCACTCAATTTCTCCCCTTTGAAATTTGCATTCTGCTATACTAGTACATATGGCAAAGAGAAGGATAATCACCTTTTTCTTTATAGCTTGCAACCAGCCGCTCTGCTGAGGGACAAGAGAAATGTGGGTCAGTTCCCATCCTGTAGAGGTTTTTCACCTCCTTGACAAACACTGTAACAACTAAGTAACTGAATCAATTAAAATGGCCAGTGCCTGCCAGACTCCTCTAACTACTTCTTGGAAGAAAAAGTTGAGCCTGAGTTTGGATAATTTATATAGCCAAATTACTGAATTTGCATTGGAGTCAAGAAGAGAGTTAGTATTTTTTTAATATTATTTTTAAAGGTATAATTATCTCCTATTATTGATTATGATTTAAGCCATTAAATTCTTGATACAAAATTGCAAAAAAAAATTAAATTATTTCCTAATGAGAATCTTTTAGGAAAGCAAAAGTCTTCCTCATAGCAAGCTCCTCATAATCTGCTATAAATAAACTTAATCTAATCCTGTGGACTGTTTTATGTGTTATAAATTCCTCTCTCAAATTGCCAAATTGGATTTATGAATTTTCCTCATGAGACAATATTATGAAATTGCTAAAAAGTAGGAAAGGCAGTTAACCTGCCTACAGGTTTGTGTGGATCTGGTCTTATCTTTCTTCTCTGAATCTAGGCCTCTGAAAAGGGAAAATTGTGGTGTATTTTCAATAGCCAGACAAGGGAGTAAAGAGCATGTTCGTTGCACCTCATATTAGTCATGTTTCAGTTCTCCAGACAAGAATAACAGAAGCCTCAGGGCACTGCTTATGTTCTTTGTGCAAGGGTTCATGCCAGTGTGTGCAGGCTGTTGCAGGAGCATAATCCTGCAAAGGTCGCTGTAGTTAGCTGGCTTGTCCCAGGGTGCCCTCCCTGCAAAACAAACAGGAACAAAGGGTAACAATTTAAATCTTGCGGTACACAGTTGGATGCCCCATGTCCTGGGCAAAGCTACAGTCAAGCCCAAGTCAAACAGCAATTCCATGTAGAGAATGTTCTTTACAATTCTGAAAAACGTGATAATCAGACTACCCTGAGTTGGAAGCGACCCACAAGGATCATCAAACAACTCCTGGCCTTGTACAAGACAGTCCCAAGAAGCACCATGGGCCTGAGGCAACAAAGATGATTAAAGGTCTCTCTCTACTCAGAGAGACCTCAAACTTGAGAATGGAAAATTAAGAGGGAAACTCATCAATGTCTCTAAGCATCTGAAGAGAGAATGTCAAGAAGATGGATCCAGACTCTTCTCAGTGGTGCCAAGAAATAGGACAAGAGGCAATAACCCAAAACTGATGTACAAGAAGTTTCACCTGATTATGGGGTAAAATTTCTTTGTTGTGTGAGTGACTGCGCACAAGAACATATTGCTTAGAGATTGTGGAGTCTCCCCCACTAGAGATATTCAAGAATTATCTGGACACAATTCTGTGCAATTTGCACTGGGATGATCTGTCTTGAGCAGGGAGGTTGATGATGACCAGATGACTTCACTGTGGTCTCTTCCAACCTTACTCATTCTGTGATTCTGTGATTAGCCAGCTCTTTGAGTGTTCTCAGATGAATCCCATCAGGCCCCATGGACCTATAAGGATCCAGCTGGAGCATCAGATCCAGCACAGCTTCAGGGTTAACTGGGACTTAATTATTCTCACAGCCATAGTACTCAAGCACTGGCCACTTGAACCACCTTAATCCATAAAGCATAGAGGACAGAGGCAAACAAAAAATTAAATTTCTCTGCCTTGCCTACTCCTCTCTCTTCTGGACCTGTTTGTGGCATTTGTGCAGTGTTAACATCCAGCAACTTGATGTCCTCCATAAGGTCAAGGGCATATGATTTGGAAATGTCCTTTAATTCCTTGAAGAATGATTAATTTGATTCATTGTCCTGGCTGGGAGAAGTGAAGCATGAAACAGTATTGTAGCTGTATTACATACCACCAGCATACCAGCTCTACGGACCTATATTAGCAGAAAAGATCAAACAGTATGACCTTTATCAAGATCCATTTTGTTTTGTTTTCTAATCTTAAAGATCATACTTCAGAATCAAATTTGAAATTTGAAATCATCATGTAATTATATGCCATGTTTCATTTACTGTCAAACAGACACATGCGAGCTAAGAGAGTATTTTGTCCATCTGCTATAGCCATAAGTATTTTCAGCAACAATGTCCATTGATTTTCTCCTTCACAAAATTCCTTGTCAGTTTGTTTGACCTTCTTTTTAGAGATCATCAAGCTATCGTGGTTTTAGTTTTATTCTAGTGTGTTCTAGTGAGAGAAAAAAATGTAACATAACCTCAAAACCATTTAAAATTTTAAAAAAAAGGTATGCAGTTCTCTCTGATAGCTGCAGAAAGTTACTTTTTTTTTTTCCCCCAGCAGACCAATTGGGTGTAGAGAAATAGGAGCTGAAAAAATAATCCTTCAGAAAAATACTAAGAAATGCAAAGTCCATGCAACTGGTTCAAGCAAAACATGGGACTCTGGTGCTATTAATAAAATTTAAATAATATCATTTGTTTGCTATAAAAATAATATTTTGTGAGTTTATTCAAGCAAACAAATATGTTGTCTAATGCAATGAATTAGTGTGTGCTGAAGAGGCAATTATCAGCTGAAGAAGAAATTACAAAAGGACATGGCCAATTAGTCAGGAATTCAGTGCAGGTGGCTGCCCTTGCTTGGGTTAAGTAAGCAGTCTCTAGAGGTGATGACATTTCATGAACTGTGAAAGAAACCTTATCAAAAAGATAAAGCATAAATCCCTTGTATGATTTGAAGTCTGAGTTTCAATCTATGCCTTGACAGAAGTGGTGGTTCAAGCTACAACTTTCAAATGGCAAAACAAACAGACAAGATGTCTTTTAAAAATAATATTAGAAGAATAAACTCACTTTTCTGTAATTTTGAGAGTTGTTGCCAAGATGCATTTTTCATAGTCTCTGCAATTTCATTTGTTTTCTTTTTCTCTTTTCTAAGAGTAAAAGTCATATGGAAACAAGTGTAGGAAACTGCATGGGGGAATCTTTCCTGTTTGGTTTCTGACAAATTTGAATACATTTGCCCAGCAGTTTTATACAGAGCATGTAGAAGAAAGAATTAATCATTGAGAACTTTCTAAGTTCAAGTTGTTGAATAGTTTGCCACACCATGCTGATAATATTGAGTTTTCATTAGGTTTTACAGGATAGAACTCAGACAGAATTAAATCAAATAAAGATAGGTTGACCTCCTGCTGCTCACACTGGCCTTCACTTTTGTTTCTGAACAGTAGGAGAAAATCCATTGTAAGCATTTGCTTTTGCAATGGTCTGTTGTATTATTTCAGCTGTGCAACAGCTATAGGAACAGAGAACAGCTCCCTTGCCAAAACCAGAGTGAAAGCACTTAAAATTGTCTGTGGGGAGCCTGATGAAAATTTACAACCACCACAAGCTGGTCACACAGATTTGCATGTTTACACAGCAGAAAAAGTGTACTGAGCTCAGACTTCTAAGTTTATCAGCCCAGGATGTGTTCCCAGGAAAAAAACCAAAAACTTCTACATCTGCTGTGCAGGTAGGCAAACAAAAGTTTGCATGCAGAAGTCTAAAGAAAATAATTATGATAGCAGTCACACTAGTTCTTCATAACTTATAACACTTTTCATCCAAGGGTCTTTACTTTGTTTCTAGAAATCTATTAGCCATTAAAACATAGTTTTTGGAAGAAAACATATACTTTCTTTTATTTAAATCCTTTATTTAAAAAGTAATGAGTCTGGACTGATCTCCATGATTTAGACATTCAGATGTAGTTTATTTTATTTTATTAAATCTAGTTTCTTAGCTCACTTCACCTTTCCTGTCATGTCCACTTTGGAAACTCAGTATGTCTTTCAATTTAAAAATTATGCAAAATTAGATGTGTAAATCTCCTAGGCAATTTACATTGCATTTTTTCATAAAGGCACATAAATTTTCCCCTTCCAACTGTTTTGTTGTAGTCTCCCTAAAGTTTTCCGCCCTTAACTACCCCTTACTCATATAAATCCATGCTAACTCATATATTGCCCTCTTGCTATATTGCCCCAAGAAGGACTCTTGATGAGCTGAATATGTATATAATTAAAGTTAGAACTCATTAGTTGGTTTGCTGATAGTTCACTATATTATATAAGACTGCATATTAAGTATTCAGTAAGGAAATATTGTCACATAAACACTGGGTCTAGTGAGATGCTAGGTCAATAAGCACACAGAATCCCCACCTTTCCCCATGTTGTCTATACTGTAAGCAGTGTGACACTTAAATACTTAAAGGTCAGAGTCCATATATACTTACTATTTGTGAGGTGCTGAACATTTTTACACTAGCTTGAAAATCTGTCCAGGGTCTTTATTCTCCAGGTTGTTTCCTGATCTTTGCCTACAAAAAGTGGAGAACTCATTATATAGTTGCAGCTATTTTTTTACACTTTGCTCTTTCCATTTCTTCTTCATCATTCCATCTTCCCTCATGTCAGAGAATTCTTCAGACAACTTCTGGCATAGCTCCTTTATTCCTTTAAGAACATCAAGAGATATAGCTCATCACTAACCCAAGGTGTCAGTGCTGTACTGGCAAGAACTGAGACATCTGTCTCCTTCAGCACTGGAGAGGATGGACAAGGACAGGCAGTGTACCAGTCACCCCTGCCTTGAACTAGCATTTCAGGAGATGCTGAGTTCTTTCACACACTTACAGGAGCTACTGCTTCCTGCACCTACCCAATCCTTCCATTGTTTTATGGCCCTCGTCCTCTTCTTAGCTTAGAGTCAGCAAAAGCAGAGTAAACATTGGTGCCTCCAAGGCCTTCTTTTCGAGTGTCTCAAAAAGTGATCCAGGATTCCTAAAGATTTTTCCACTAGAAATGACAAGGCAGTGGCTGTAAGACTTAAATGGCATGGTATTCCACTTCAAATGATATCAGAGAAATTTTCACATTACAAGAGTATTATGTTAGCACAAGACTATTAATAACAAGATACATTTCATAAAGAGGTAAAAAAGAAGTCCATAACAAACACTTAAAATTTCTCTTTCTATAAATCAGCACCTATTATTAATGAATTTATTATTTACATAACTATAGTACTATTAGGTATAATTCAGTAACTACAATTTATTTGCTACAAAATTATTTGTTATTAAAAATATCAGATGTGGATTTTTTTTTATTGAAAAATCTTTATAACATCCCTCTCTCAAAGGAGAATAAAAATACTGTATTATTGAAATCAAATATATTAAAATTTTCCTGTGGTGACCAGCATAAATCTATTTTAACTCAACTTATGAATTTAAATATGCAAATAACTCACAGGCAAAAACACAGAGCAATTGATACTAATTGCTCAAGCACTTATCCTAATATGTTCTTGGAATTATAATGAAGGAAATGTAGTGCTTTAAATACTATGAGTGACATCTCTGAAATTAAGTTTCTGTCAAAAGATTTACAAAGTAGTAGGCATATGCTCCAGTTTGCCATGAACACAGGATAGAGCTGAATGCTTTTAAAATTCGATTACAAAGTCAATGACTACATCAAATGCAATAGATGCTGTGTCACTATAGAACTCCCAACGCAGAGATTGCAAAATAAATTCCTGTTTTCACCCTAAACTTCTGTTTTCAGCCTAGCCCTTTGTCACAAAATTATCTTTTCTAATCTTGGTCAAAGTGACTATTTGCAGAAATTTTACAGTAAGAAAAGCATAGTTTAAATTATCACATAGTGTCTGCTCTCCTTCTGTCTCCCAAAAGAACAAGGTAAAGTATTAAATGAAAAGATAACAATATTTTGAATTGGGAACAATAGTTTAGTTACAGTCAAAACACACTGATTGTTTCTGTGTCTGCTTTTATTAAGCTTATTTTTTCATCATTTTGGAACAGAAGCAATTTGCACCTTAATATGTTACTAGATAGAACCATTGAAATACAGAGAAATAATAAAGGAAGAGAAATAAGAGTAAAACCTCTCAAGAGGACATAAAACATTTTATTCTAATGTATGCTGAAGAAAAGTATTCACAGAACATGCTGTGTTCAGCATACATACATACACAGCCACAATCAAAAGGATTAGGATACCTCCTAGCAAACTAGAAATAAGTTTTCATGCAAGAGGGTGACAAAAGGCTTCCTGCAGAGACCTGCAGCATTAGATACCCTGCACTGAGGTAATTCTGCTTTACAGACCACTGCCTTTTTCTAGAGGTAGCCCACAAAAGGTACAACATATATTTGAAATACAGGAACTAATGGTCCCATTAAAAGAATTAGGATGTGTAAAGATGATATAAATATTTCACACCTAGTAGCCTTAACATAACACTTGTCATCCTCTGAGGTATTTCAAAGATCCTCTCAGCCATGCAACATAATCTATGCCATCTATCCCAGAAGGCTTTATACTTTTACTGTTTCCAAGTCCTTTCTAGGCCTCACCTACCTCAAAGGATCTATTAGTTCCTTTCAAAACCCAATAAATCTGAGAAGAATTTCTGATCTGCTTTTACCAATATCTAAAATAACTTCCTTCTTTTGCTCCTCAGCAATGATTTCTCTGCTTCTGTGTTCTCTAATATGCTGTCATAGACTGCAAACTCTTGAGAGCTCTTAAGCAGTACGAAAGTTATGTCCAGCATAGGTGAGGTGCCAGATAATTTATCATTAGGTTATACTTGTCACAGCACTGCACAAGCTTTTCAGGAGCATATCTGAGTAAGAGAGGCTACCAGCCTTAGGCAGGAAAATAAAGCATATAAAATGCAATTTTTTGAGGACCACCTGTCACTCAGCATCAGCTAGTATGGATCACCCATTTCTGGCTATGAAATAGCCTTCATAGACCTCTGCAAGGAGCAAGTTATTACTTGTGCACATGTCATTCCTGAATTCCTGTCTTTACCATTCCGGGTCCCAAGAAGCTTCCTGCTTTTCCTGATGAAACACTTTATTTGTTCATCAGCTACTTGTCAATCTACCCTCAAAGTTGTCTTTTTGCAAGATGGTATTACCATCATCTCGTCTACCTATCAGAAATTGCTATCTGTGACATACCTGTATTCACTGGATTCTGGTAAAGCAGCATGTCCAACTGCGCTGTGACCGTCCGTGACAGATATATCCGGTAAGTCCCCAGTGGATCCCAGAAGATCATTAATGACAAGCATATCCCTGTTGCAAGACCAGGAGTTACTGATGTTGCAGAGAATTCTAGAACTTTACCCATCTGTTCAGAAAATTCAGACACACCAGAACCATTTATTTGATAGTGTTCTTCATGCCTGAGCATTTGACTCTTCCTGATGCAAATGGACATCTTATTTCAGTGCCAAACCTTTTCCATGTCCAGAAAGCATGACTCTGCATTCTCAGAAATGACAATCATCTCCACTGTCATCTTTCACATAGCTCTGTCTTGGTGACCAATGTAGAAAAGCAACTGCTCTAAGCTCTATCTCACCGACCTGCACAAACTCCATTAAATGTTTCATTTTCTAAAAGAGGTGTCATGATATCAAGTAGATGTCAAATTGAGAATATAATCTGAATCACTATGCATGTACTGAAAACTGAGCAAAAGAAAAAACAAATCAAGAAGTCCTTCCAACATTTTTGTAGGAAAGCCTTGAATACAGCCTTAATAGCCTGTCTGAGAAAAATAAACCACAATTTTACTTAATAGCAGTAAAATTCTATGAAGTACAATGCTTATGAACCATTCTGTTGATGCAGAGATATCAGACTCCTTTTTTAATATCCTTCTGGTTTTTTTCTTCAAATTTAATCCAATTTTCCTTACTGTCTTGAGTCTTTTTGTGAAGGGCAGACTTTTACTTCTGTCGTGATGACAATAGCAGAAACCACTTGCTATCACATGCCACACTTCTCTGTACCTCTAACTGAAAACATTTTCAGATAAAAACTGTTGATTAACTCTCATTGTCTGCCATCTGGAAATGAGTTGAAAATATTCTTAAGATGGAGTACCAATAGGCCTTCTTCCTCATCAGAAAAGGCATTGCTCAATGTATGCACTCAGGAGTTCTCTTAACCTTCACTCCATGAGAGCTTTGCCAGAATTGACACACTCAAGTGTCTGCCTGTACTGGGTCTGGCTGGGATGAAGTTATCTCTCATCACAGCAGCCTATATGGTGCTCTGCTTGCATTTGTGGCTAACAATATTGTTAACACACCTGTATTTTACCCATTGATGATCAGTGCTTACACAGAATCAATGCCTTCTTTTTTTCTCACTCTGGCCCTGCCCTTATCCCCCAAAAATGATCCTGGGAGTAAACAGGAAAATGGAAGCAGTACAGCAGAGACAGCTGACCTGAATCAAAGCAAGGTCATTTGGTATCGTGTTCACAAAAATAAAATGCTTAGGGAAAGGAGCTGGAAGGGAGAAACACAGGTGCTTATGTTTGTCTTTGCAAGCCACTGCTGCCTGTGATGTTGATCTGCTTTAGAGGAAGTGGTTAAACACCTACCTGTGGATGAGAAACAGTCAATAGGTTTCTTATTTAGCTTTTCTTGCACATAGAATTTTGCTTCACTTATTAAATTGTGTTTATCTCAACCCACAAGTTTTCTCACTTTTGCTCTTTTTTTGTCTGCCCTATCCCACTGTAGCAGGGGAGTAGAATTAGTGACCAAATGTGTGGGTGATTAGTCACTAGCCAAGGCTGGCCACAACATCACCACATTCATATATCCACAGAGGCATACACTGAAATGTTTTTCTGTCTCCCTTGCACTATATTAATCTGTATTTAACTTTCTTCCAATTTTTATGCTTAAGCCATGATGTATTGAGAGACCCACCTGTGTCACACCTGTTATCTGTAGGAAAGCAAAGGAAGTAGCACTCCACATTCCTGCTGAAGAGAATAACCATCACCATTGATGTTTCCATCAGCTTCTTCTATCAAGAAGTGTCTCTGCTCTCCGCTATAGCCTGCACTCACCTTTCTGTAGACATGTCTTTGGAATACCTAGAATACCTAGGAATACCTCTTTAGCTAAGAATACCTAGAACTTGCACTTTCTTGAGATGATGATAAAAAAGAAGGACTTCCTAAAGGGTAAACAAGAGAACAAGACTCTATGACAAGAGATATATATTTTATTGCTACCAAGTTATAGTATTCCTCTTGGAAAGTATAGAAAAATTGCTGATCACATGAAAGGCTAGCATAAAGAAAAAAAATATGAAATCTGCAGCCACAATAATTCTGTACTTAAACTCAGATAGGAAAGGTGTCTCAAGTAACCTTGAACAGTGTAGTAAAGTCTAGCTGGAGATGCTGCCTCTGGAAATTATAGAGCTTGTTTTGTTTTCACAGGGAGGTCATGGGGTTGAAGAGAAGGAACCATAACAACCCTGTCTGTTATTAAATCAGTTTTTCAGGCAATACAAATCTGCTGTAAGTTTACACCATTTGTGATCCATGTTAGTGTTTAATTTATATTTGTGGATCAGGAACTTGAGAGGAAATGGATAAACCCACTTCTAAATCTCCACACTGGACAGCTTCAGACATATGGTTCCTATCAATCTAATCACTCTGCCTCATGGTACAAGGCAATCACCCTATTACAGTTTCTTCTAACGTTTCTGGTACTGAATATTATCAAAGAATATATATGAAGCTAACTGAAACACACGCCTGATTCAGAATGAGTATTTTGTGTCAGTGCATGATGACTGTTTCTTACTGTTCAGAAACAAGGAAAAGAGATATTATTTAGCACTCAAAGTCTCTGGGATTAATAATGAGGAATAACTAGAAAGGCAAAATGAAAGGTAAATACCATGGGGTGGGTTGGTATAAATATATACATCAAGCTGTATGTGAAGATATCGTGAAGTCCAGTGATTCCTACCAACTTAAAATCAAATAAAATAATCATTCAGGGATACAGAAACCAATCCTTTATCATCAGAAGAAAATAGACAAACAATTCTGAACTGTATTTGATATTATTTTCTTCTGCAATGTAACAAAATGATTGTCATATCTATTTAATGGTGCTATGAATGCCACTTTGGTCTTGGGACTCTGAGTTAGAGCTAGAAAAAATCTGCCATATTTTTTGCTTAAAAGAAAACCACAAACAAAACAACAAAACAAATAAATAAAAAAACCCAGGAGAATAATATGTCCTAAAATAGTAAAAAAAACCACTCCAGGGTCATTCATAGAGTTTCAGTCTCGTGCCAGGATATGTTTCCAGCAATGAATAAATGAACAGACCAGTCACATGTTGGATTGCATACTAAAACCTGTGGAAGTTATTTTACGCAACCTTCTTCAAAGTATTGTTGATTGAGTTAAAATTGGATTTCTCCTCTGACTGATTATCTAATGTGATAGAAAATACACAGTCCAAGAACAAATTTAGATTTCTGTGGAAAATTAAACTGTAATGTGGGGTTATCCACTGAGGCATTAAATATAGCTGTATAATTGTATCTGCAGATGACAACTGTGATATGACTGAACTTCATCTGGTTTCCAATGAAGACTTACAGAAAAACATGTTCACAAAGGACAGATGCTTCCTTTGAAATATTTGGAGGGGAAAATTGATTTTCACAGTACACTTTTCATAAACAATTACTGAACTTGAAACTTCTGAAGAAGTAGCTTGAGTGTGAAAGTTTCTGCTACTGAATCACAAAGGTAAAGAGAGTTCAGTGTACGGTCATTTTCACAAAAGAGAGTAACTGAAAGACTATAAACAATTTGAGTAGTCAGCGTTCAATATCACTCAGAGCATTGTACTATTTTTATTTCCTTCTGTTTTCTTTTTCTTTAAGTGAAAGACTGCCCAAATATATTATTATAGAAGTACAAGCTTTATTCCAGTCTGGGTTGAAATACCGGTAAGGTTATGTACCTTTTTGAAATGAAAATATTCATAAGAAACTGGTACACAAAATGTAGGGTCATTTTTTATCAGCTCAAGAGTTAAGAAATTAAACATAAGAGAAGTGACTAGCAACTTTGACATATTTATTAAATTTTTACTTAGGAACAATTCAAAAATCAATATTCTAGTAATTATTTAACAGATCTTTTCAAGAAATATTTTGATTATGGTTATGATTTACCAAAGGCATAAATCCAGATTAACATTTCACTAGTCATCTTTATCTGAGTTATTATTTTTGCTTTTCTATTTTAACACACTAGTATCTTCTCTGTGTGTGATGATCACAGAATTATAGAGTTATTTAGATTGGAGAAGACCTCTAAGGCCACCAAGTCCAACCATATCATCATACAGTAGAGTTGAGCATCGAAAACATTATGTGTCATCCACAACTGTCAGGGGAAAGGGAAGGGGAAAATTGGTCTTGTTCCACGATTAGCATCCCTACACATCTTTTAATGCTTTTAGAAATTATAATGAGCCCCTAGAGGTACATGTGTGGTGTTTATCATAAATCAGGTTGTGTTACTCCTAAACTCTTAGATTACTGTCCAAAGCCTCTCAAGGTGTAGTGCAGCAATGAAATCGGAAAAACTGATTTAATTTACAACAATAACAAATATGTCTCCAATGAGCTACACAGTGGCAGGAAAATTAGGTGGTGGAAAACAAAACATGTTTCAAATACTTCCCACTTTTGCAGAACGATTTATTTTTTGTTGCAGAATTTTATTTGTAACACTGAGATTTTTTTCAGCTCTGACAGATTGAGGCAAAAATGTGACCCTTTCTTGTTGTCACTCAAAAGTCTGAATAGAGTGTAAAAATAATTACTATGCTTTATATTTTATTGATGGTCTTATTGACTTGAAATACTTGAAATACACCTAAAGTACTTATGTTACACATCTTCACACAGGAAAATCTTCTATAAGCTACTCACAAGGAAAGACATGCAAGTATGCACCTCTGGTAAAGGTATTAGATTTATACAGCAGCAAGATATCATGATTAAAACCAGAAAAAAATAACATGCTTTCACCATTAATACCATAAGTGCACCAGATAAATCACATAAGCAAATGTTCTGGCTTATGGAAATGACAGGGAAGAAAAACGTATCATGACCCCTATCAGGCCATACTATAGGAACACACGGGGTACAGTAGGGCTGTAATGGAGAATAATTGAATCTGTTAATATTAAGGCTGGTATTGTAAAAGT